GGGGAGGACGGGCAAGCCGGTCGAGGGCCGTTCGCCCGCCAACTCGCGTCGTCCTTCCGGCATGACCCCCGACGCAGACTCCCGTCGCCCCTCCTACCGTCGCAACGACGCAAACGACGTCGACGAACGCTTCTCCTCCCAGGAGCGTATGGGCTTCGGCTCCAAGTTCACCCCCGACCAGACTCCCCCCGAGAGCCCCGCAAACGCAAAGAAGGGCTTCGGCTTTGGCGCCGCAGAGCGTCGCGGCAGTGGCCAGGGCGCCGGCGCGCCCGCCGCCGCCACCGACGGCGTCGACAACTGGCGATCAGCTAGGAAGCCCGCTTCCGGCTCCTCCAGCCCCGCTCCCCAGCCTGCCGCTGCAGAGCGCAAGAAGCTCGACCTGAAGCCACGCTCCGTCGAGGCCACCGCCGCCTCCGCATCCGCCTCCGCCACCAGCTCCAAGCCTAGCCCCTTCGGCAATGCCAAGCCTATCGACGCCGCAGAGCGCGAACGCCAGATCGACGAAAAGCTCGCACAGAGGGAGAAGGAGAGGCAGGAAGACCTCAAGGCAAAGAAGGAAAAGGCAAAGGCAGACAAGGAGAAGAAGGACAAGGCTCCCGCGCCCACCTCCACCGACAAGCCTCAGGCCGACAGCGCCCAGGCCGACGCTGCCACTCCCGCTGCCGCGTCCCAAGAGTCGGCGCCTTCCGCCGCTGCCAAGGCGCCACGCGCCCCGGCTCCCGTCGGCGCATGGGGGGGAGGACGTAAGCCATCCGGTGCGCTCGTCGGTGGTGAGCAGAGCCCCGCAGCCGCCAACGACGACAAGTCCGCCGATATCCAGGTCGACGAGGTCGCTCAGAAGGTCGAGGAGACCAAGCTCGATGCCTAATCGGCCTCGACTGGTGCTGCGCAGGGTGGTCCGCGCCCGCGAGCAGGTCCATCCACTCTTTTTCACCTTCCCGTCTGTGCTTCTGGCTCATACCAAAAGAAGGGCCGGCGCATCAAGCCCTTCACATCCAGCCCCCGCAGTGGCTCGCATGCCTCGACCTCAGCTCGCCCACTGGATACCCTTCCACCGATTGATTGCAAGTGTCGAGCTCGGCCGCAGTCCAGTCACGCGCAGCGCATGCTCGGCTGCCCATCCTACCCTGTAATGTACCGCTTTTCCTTCTTCGTTGTCAATATCATGTTTGCCTCTCTTGCCGTGGGCTTGCGGCATCTTCTCCCCACTGAACAGCGACGACAACAGATTCGAATTGCTGAGCAAGGTTGATGGCACTCACCACGAGCAATGTTGGCACAGCCACGAGGTGGAGACATTCTTCTCGAGAAACATCCGAACTTTGTGGTCTTGTGAGGAAGCAGCAGAGAGGAGAATACAAGGGCAAGGGGAGGAAAGAAGGAGGAAAGGGATCAGGTGCGGAGGCTGGACGAGTTCCACATCTGGCCGGCAGCGATGAGCTTATGCACGGCCTCTTGGCAGAAGATGACGCCCATCTTGGTGTCGCAGATGCCTGCGGCGCCACCCTGGTCGCCACCACCAGACCTGGACTTTCGGTCGCCAACACGCCACCATCCGACCAAGCTAGAGCCGTCTTTGGCCGCAGCCACAAGCGACTTCTGTTGCTGTGCCCATCCCTGCACATCCGCATGGATCCTCCAAAAGCTCGATAGCACCGCGGTAGGACGTTTGGCCATCAGCGACTCGTATTCGGAAGTGTTGGACAGCTGGACGTAGTTGGGGCTCAATTTACCCAGGTTGGCATCCAGTCGTTCGAGCCACGAGGACATGAGCAGCCGCGGGTTGGATCCGCCAGCTCCGTAGATGTGCCAGCCGCCACCGGCGAGATCGTTCTTGCGTCCCGAGCGACCACGCTCACCAGGTGCCAAGATACGGTCAACCACGGACTTGCCGTGCAGCATGCCCAGGAGACGTGTGATGCCGAGCGGCTCGAGCAGTGCAGGAAGCAGGTCGTAGTACACCGAGCCCAGAGCGCCGTGATTGGGAGCAGCGTAGCCTGCGCGTGCACCAGAAGTGCGCCCAACCTTGTCCGTGTACCACGACTCTGGAGTCTCGGCATCGATGTGCAGGAAAGAGTGCACGAGGTGCGGATGCTGCACCGCAAAGTCCTGTGCGAACAGATGGCCGTAGCCCGTAGACACGAGCATGAACTTTCCAAGCTCGGCATCGTCGTTCTTCTTCTTCTTGTCCTTGCTGCTGGAAGCGGAGTGGTCGAGCTGGCCAGACTTGTGGAGTGCATGGTAGAGCGCCTCGGTTTGCAGACGCACCGAGGTGGGTTGGTAGACAAAGTCCGAGTGGCCGTAGCCGATGCGGTCCCAGAAGCAGACACGGGTGAGGGCGAGGTGGCCATCCTCGCGGCCGCTTGCGCGAGAGGCAGATCTTGCCACCATCTCGCGCAGGAACTGGGCAGCGATCACACCGCTCACGCCTCGCTCGGACATGACGAGGGCGGTGGGCACGACGTGCGAGGTGTTGTGCGACTTGAGCGTTTCTGGTTGGGAGGGAGCCTCCTCGCAGGCGAGATGGAGCCGAAAGGAGACGGGGTAGGGGTTGACGTCGGCGGGATCCTGGGGATAGACGGGCTGCTTTGTGAGCGAGGTGGGGTGGACCAAGGTCAAGTTGCCGAGCGGCTTGAAGCGCGAGTCTGCGGCATCGAGGACGAGGTCGAAGGTGACGAGGGCCGAAGCGAGGGCGATGGCGAGACAGCCAAATATGGCGTTGAGAAGCTTGAAGCGGCGGGACCATTTGGCCTGTGCGCGTGCGAGGGGCACCTCTGTGACGATGGGCGCGCCAAAGTCCGGGTTGAGCGTGAAGGGGATGGTCTGCTTCTGAAGATGGTGAGAAGAGAGGAAGGCCCATAGGGTGGAGAAGAGGCAGAGTGCGACGGAGAGGAAGCCGAGGTAGGAGTGAGTCACGCGGAACTCGGGCACGGCTGCGAGGAGGATGGCGTCGATGACGGTGAAGCATAGGACGAAGAGGTGGAAGACGTTTGTGGAGCTTGAGGCGAGCTCGAAGAAGAGCAGGCCGGGAGCGAGCATGGCGAGGGAGATGATGCCGAACCAGAGCGGCAAGAGCGCAGGCGAGCGGTGGGGCGGGAGGAGGAGCGGGATGGGTTCAAAGTAGTTGATGGCGAGCAGGATTAGGAGTGCGGTGACGGGAAGAAGTAGAAGCACACCGATGGCAAAGTAGAAGCGTAGGAAAAAGGTGAGGTAAGGAGAACGCCTAGGCGGTCGGGTTGCATGTGGAGCTGCGGCTGGCTCGACGGGAATGGAGCGGTAGTCCTGGTTGTCCGACGGCGACGACGACGAGGCGAGCAGCGGCTGTCGCTCTGCATCGCGTTGACGCTCAGCGGACGACGATGTTGAAGTAGGTTTGGGAGCCATGGTGGCGGGCGGGCGGACCTTGCCTGGTTTGGCGCTGGCGTTGGCGTGAGGAGGGGATGGTGGTTGCGTGTGGAGGAGGGTGTACAGCGCGATGCACGGTGGATGGCTCGAGCTGAGCGTGTGGGGGAGATGGGCAAATCGAGTGGAGAAATACGGTAATGACGCTGAGGAATGCATTTTTGGACGTGAGCCTCGACCGCAACCCTGCAGCATCGAAGCACCAAAAACACAAAGTGGAGGCGGCGGCGGCTGCTTGACCCGATTCCCAAGCCGATTCGCGCTCCGATCTTGGCCTTTTGGAGCTGTGCCGCGTCGGTGGGTCCAAGCGCCAAAAGCGCCGCCAAAAAATCATGAAGAATGCAACACCTGCCAAGTGGGCGGGCGTGCAGCGGCAGCGGCACTCTGAGCACGCCTTGTCCCACTGCCAAAGTGACACTCTCACCACCATCCTCGCGCCATCCTCGCGCCATCCTCGCTCGCACACATGACTTAGCTGCGAAGCCAATCTTTCTATTCACGCCGCCTCCAACATGGCCACCACAGTCATGTTCGGCTTGTCCCTCAAGCAGGTCTCGCTCGCCGTGCTCACAATACAGAACACCGCCCTCGGCGTCGTCATGCACCACAGCCGCGTATCCGCTCCCATTGGCAAATCCTACTTCTTCCCCACCGCCGTACTCCTCACCGAGTTCCTCAAGTGCGCCATCTCCTTCCTCATTGCCGCCGCATCCACACGCCCAGCCACCGCATCCCTTCCACTCCCTTCCGCGTCCGCATCCGCATCGCTCCGACAGCGACAGCAGCCACACAGCAACGACAGCAGCGCACATGCCCGCTTACTCACCTCGCCATCCCACAAATCGCACGACAGCATCTCCAGACTTCAGCTCGTCCTCGATGAGGTCACTGCACACGACTACTGGAAGCTCTCCATCCCCGCCTTCCTCTATGTCTTGCAGAACAACCTCCAGTACGTCGCCGTATCCAACCTCGAGCCGCCCATCTTCATCTGCGCCTACCAGATGAAGATCCTCACAACCGCTTTCTTCAGCATCGTCCTCCTTCGCAAAAAGATCGGCATGTGGCAGTGGATGTCCCTCGCCATGCTCGCCATCGGCGTCGCAGTCGTACAGATCCAGAGCAAGTCCGTCTCCGGTCTCGTCCCATTCGAGGTACGCACCCACGGATACGGTCACGTCTCAGCAGGGCCCGTCGCAGACCTGCCCCCACCACCGCCTCCGCCTCCCTTCGACTCGCATCGCGCCCCGCCCCCAGAGCGTCTGCCCAGCCTCGGCTCCTTCCTCTCCGGCTCCGACGCAAAGGACTACGACCACCTTCCGCCCTCCTCCCCCTCCTTCCCCCACGACCGCATCTCCATGAGCATGGAGGAGAGCGCAAAAGCGGACAAACCAATGCAGCCCATTCAAGGCTTCCTCGCCGTCATCGCCGCCTGCCTCACCTCGGGCCTCGCAGGCGTCTACTTTGAGATGGTCCTCAAGACCTCAAACGTCAATCTCTGGACAAGAAACGTTCAGCTCTCCGCCTGGTCCCTCATCCCCGCCGCACTCCCCGTTCTTCTCGAGATGGTCCGACACGGTCCCTCGGCCCCCTTTCTTCATTTCGGCATCAGTGCTTGGGCCACTGTCGTCCTCCAGGTCACCGGCGGCCTCGCCGTCGCCATGGTCATCAAACACGCGGACAACATCCTCAAAGGCTTCGCCGTCAGCTTCAGCATCATCCTCAGCTTCGGCGTCAGCATCATCTTCTTCCACTTCCCCTTCACTGCGCCGCTCGCCCTAGGCGTCGCTCTCGTCATCCTCAGCACACTCTCATATTCACGCGGCTCCATCCCCGGCTTCAAGACAACCGCTGCCAGCTGGAGCAGCCCCGCATCGTCCATTACCTCTACATTTCGTGACAAGGCACGATTGCTTAGAGACTGATCATGCCCATCGCAATGCTATACCATTCATGTCCCCGTCCATGTTTCGCCATCCCGCCGCAGCGTGCGTGTCTCCTCTCCTGGTGGTGGTGCTCAGTAGCGAGTCACCACGAGAATGACTGCTGTTTCATCAGTCATGAGTGCTGTGCACCCTTGTCGCGAGAACGGTGCAAGTCAATAACTGGATGGCATTGTGCTGCAGAATTCCATCAAAAGAGGTCCGCAGCTTTGACCTTGCGCTGATCTCGACCATCGTCGCCCGCAGGCGGAGCATAGCCTGGCGGCGCATTGGGCATGCTCCCTGGTGGAGGCGCGCCGAACCCGGGCGGTGGTTGCGTGGGAGGCGGCCTTGCAAAGTTGGGCGGAGGAACTCCAAATGCTGGCGGTGGGACCGAGAACGGTCCTGCCGGCGGAAAGCCGGGCGGCGGACCTGCACCAAGTCCGGGCATTGGCGCCTGTCCGCTCATCAACGCCTTATGTGCCGCCAATTGAATGCGCAGCTGCTCCTTGGACAGCACCAACTTCTCGATCCTCGGCCGCTT